GCTTTGTTGGGCCGGGGGGGGGGGGGGGGGGGGGGGGGTAGATTTTTTCACGTCTTCCCGAGAAGAGTCACCATTCCTTTAATTTTCCAAATAAACGAAGCTTCAAATACCATGATGTCACTGAATGACTGTATGGCTCGTCGTATCGCGTACATTGTCTAGCCTGCACTACAGACGCGCATGATATTGGTTGGGCAGAGGTTTTGATTTTTGCTCTGCTTGACACGCCCAGGACGATCAATCTCCACTCCTTTCCAAGTTCCTCTGGACCCCATTTTCTCGATAAACTTTCGTTTGCCTGAGTGCCGGCTGGTACTGACTTGGAAAATGGGGGCTTTGCAGAGAATGTGGATTTGGCCCTGAAACTGCGTGTTTCAACCGACAAGGGCTGCTTAGCAGGCTGTCGGCTGTCGGAGGAAGATCCTGTGGGTGCAAAGTTTCAATGTTGGACTTCAAATGTCGTTTGTCAGGCCAGACAGGAATCAGGCCGAGGGGACGTCAGGATGGCCACACCAACTAGGTGCCCCGCTCCAGCGAGATAGGTTTGTTAATATTGCGAGAACCGGACAACCAGATGTCTACCCATCTCGGCCGACTATCGGGCACAAAAGGTGCAGAGTAGACTAATAGACTTTTCTCATCCACCACTTAGTGAAGAGAAGCTAATGGGGGCGTGCGTGTATCTTCAACAATGTTTTCGTTCCCGTACGCTTAGTCAAGGTGGTCTGGAAAAATAGGAAACACGGCCCGCTTCAGCCCCCAATAACGGTTAGATCAGCACTCCTAGGGCATTGAGGAAAAGACTGTAGTTTCTTGCTCTGTCAGTTGTGTACTTGTACGCTTTGCCAGGGTATGAATGGGGTGACTAGTATTCAGTGTTCCACGTGGAGCGCTACATAGTCTGTCGCCAGTTTTCGCCGTTCAGGTAAGCATAGAAACAGATCAAGACGGGGCGAGGTTTCAAGCGTCATCATGCTCCGACCAATGACACATGGTAGAACCGAAACAGGAAGAAGTCCTCCATTCACGGTCAGGCAATTGCGCAGAGGGAGAAAAACGTACTGAAGAGCACACCGGCATGGCCCTCCCCGAGTGGTCGGTCTTGGATTGACTTGTAAGACTGAGAAAGGGGCAGATTTTGCGACTTCCGTGACCCAGATTGAGTTAAAACGCACTGTGGGGCCTGCAGGTGCGCTCCGTGGAGCTCTTTTAGGTTTAGCCAGGGTTACCATTTGAGTTAATGCCGTCCACTCTCCGTGGGATCTTGTGAGAAGTTTCGAAGACTTGATCCTCTGCTTCACTTGCAGCTTTGAAGGCGACCCTGGCTCTATGTACTCCATATACCACGAGGGCTCTGCTTTTTGCCATGACACAACCCTGATGTAACTGCTGTGCCAGATCAGAGGCCCGGTAGGCCCATGAGCTATTATTCCAACGCTCCTTCGGGGGCCAGTATTCGGGGTAAAGACTCGGACCCTTGCGGGTAGCGCATGGAGAATAATAATAAATAGGCCCTAGAGTACTCCACAGAGCGTCATAATCCCTTGTAGGCCCGGGACCGGCCTCAATTCACTTTATGCGGCGGCGATAGGAGTTAAGTTGGGCCGTTCTTGGCTCGGGGGTGACATCATTTATGACATTTGCCTCAATTTGTCTTGAAGCTTTGTTTGTGACGCAACCCTCACTTCAGGTGTCAGCAAAAATAACTGAGATATATGACAGGATACGAAGAACATGACATGTGGTACGGAGTAGTGGGTGCCCGAATACCTCGAGTGGCTGCAGCTAGCTCCGCCTGTCGGCCTCCGAACAGCCTTTGAAGGTTTTTCAAAACGGGCGAGAGCCGGTCATGGTACTCGCACAGCTTTGAAGCCATGAAAATGCACCCACGCCAAGGCGTGGACTGGCTGATCCGGCCCACCGAGTCTTTGGGTTTGATTCATATCGAGCGCTCAATGCCGTGTTTTGGCTTTTTGGTGCAACGCTGACACGCTTTCGATGGCAGTTGCCACGCTTTTGTAGGAAGCGAAATTATGGTTACGCCACTCGACCTGCCGACGGCGGTTGGTAAAGACGCTAATGCAGTGTCAGCATAAACGAAGCCTGGGTGCACCAGTCAGTTCCGCACTCTCCAGATATGGTACTGACTCAATGAAACATGACTGACGCTGAGAACGGCATGAAATGGAAAACCCTATACCGTTCTTGGTAGTGTAAGTTGGACGACGGCAATGGCTTCAGACGGACAACGTAGCCTCAGAGAGCACCGAGTGTTGTGGCCAAAGGCCGTACCGCTCGGCACATTGCCTAACAGGATATCACGGGGTTCGGATTTACAATATACTGCCACACTGACTGCGCCTGCCTCAATAGTAAACAGCGCGGAAGTAAGAGCAACCGGGAGTACCATCTTTCTCGGTTCCAATGATGTTCCGTGGAGGCTTCCGTGGAAGGTGCCTGGCTGCAAGCCCCCAATGCGAGCCTTCTAGTACCTGTTCAGATACCGAGTAACTTACATTGTTACTCATCTTGCATGAACATGGGGAAGGTACCTGCCGCCCAGATTGTCCTACTTGACATCCTCACAACTCGCTGACCATGCCTACGTCTGTGCAGGCCTCGATGCATCTCAGTCGAAGTAGACGGAGCCCGCATCAGCCTTGAAGTGCCCCTGTCTTGTCGGCTCTACGGAGCACAGCCATGGTATTTGTCTATCAGCTGTCTGGTGCAAGTTTGATTTTAACCCATTCAACAGACTCACAACGGTCCTGGCATGACTCCCATCTGAGCTTTCCCCCGCCTTTTTTCCAACCCCTGACCATGAAATATACCCCCCCTGTGTGCGACTTCTTTGTGGTTTTCCGAGAGCTGGCGCGAGATGGAGAAGGTGAAGTTCCTTCGACCTCAGTGATGTCCGGTCGTTCTTTAGCGTAAAGGAAGGTTCACTAGTTTCCTAGGAGCGAGCCTAGGCTGATTCGTTGGCTCTTTTGCCAGCCACCTGTATTACGAGAGGCTGATGGCACCAGGCAATCCATCCCAACCATCAGCCTCACACCTAACGCCGATCGGCCGCCCAGATCCTCCCAACAACACTAGGAGGACTCCCGTTAGCACCGTTCATCATTATCGTCGCAAATTGTGTGCGTCAGACTCCTCAGTTACAAAGTGTTCCAGCTAAGAATGGCATCAGAAGGCAACAGGGACGTATTTCCGAACCAATCATCGGTGATGACGGCCGGTAATCTTGGCGGTGCCCATAATGTACCTTGAGCGTTATGTGGAAAACAAAACAAAGAGAGAATACTCATTCGGAATAGTCGGAGAATGTCGGCCGCGGTTGAATCAATGTACAATGCGGAGAGAAATCGGGTTCAAGAAGACTAGCCAGAAACGATCATACCACACTGTCTTATATGTGTGTGATACGGCTCGAACATAACATGGCAGCCTACATTGACCATCAGTGGGGTGAAAACCGCAAATGCCCTTTATACGTGGCACGCAGCCTGCGTGCATTCGAGGCCGAGAAACCGCAGCGAGCTCGTAAGAACTGTCGGGTAGGATTTCTTCGAAAGAAAAATGAACACGGCTCTTGTTGTCTTAATGCCTGGGAATAACGGAATCATTTCATGAGTGGTTGTGGACTGGCTCGACTTCGCACTTGCGCATCCTCGGACCTGCATGAGCTCGGGCTTCACTCCCTGTAGTAGTGCCATCTCGGGGTCAGACCAAAATGTCCTCCAGCAAATTTGCAAGCATTTGGGGCTCATTTGGTTGCATTCCATGTCCCGACAGAGTGGAAAATAACGCAGACGTTGTCCGGATGCGATGCTGTGGCACCCCAGCTGCTCGCCTGAGGGCTTCTTCTCAACCCTGCCCTCTAAAGTGAAAGAAATAATTCCGACGCACATGTATGATTTGGGCACTATCATGTGGCATGGGCATATTATTGCAAAATGACCATGCCCAGACAGGTATGCAGCGGGATGTGACACTACCACCTCCCCAGTTCAGCCGATGTGATTTCCCTCTTTTTGTAAAATGCCACAGACTTGGCGTCTCAGGACTTTCAGCCCGCCTCCGCTTTATGAGCAAGGGTTGTTGATAGTGAAACTAAGTGTTCAGGTGAGTGATCCCTCTCGAAGGATGGAATAGCCTACGTGACTGCCTTGTATCTCACAGAGTCTTACCCAGGCTCTGGCTGTGGCCACACTTGGGGGCCATCATGAAATCTTTCGGATAATGAGGCTATAGTCTTGATGTGCCCACACCCACAGCCTGGATTAGCGCTGCTTAGCACACAGATATTCATAATGAACTACGCCCTGAAGCTACTTGTCGCAAGCAGTTTAAGCGAATGTTAATGATTGATGAATCAACACTCAGGTCTGGTTGACACTGTTAGGCCCTGGAAGTTCCCTGCTCTACACTGTTCAGCCCATGCGGCGTGGTTACTTGAAAGTAAGAAGAGAAAAGGAAAGCAGTCATTATATTTGTTGTTATGCAAGTCTTGGACTGTATAATGAATTGCTAGAAAGCTGTTAGCATTAGCACA